AGTTTTGTTTTAATACTTTGCAGTAATTTGAAAAAAAAAATATATATATATAGCCCTATATTTTAGGCCCCATAAAGATAAATAACCCCCACTATAAATACCTATAATATTATAAACTAAAATAAGTTTTTGCCGAATAGATGAACGGCTGGAAACTGACCAAAATAAAGACAGCAATATTTTAAGATCTAAAATCGTAGAATTGCTTTTCGTTTACATGCAAAATAAAATGGCCAGTAAAATAGACGTTGCTCAAAAAGATATAGGAAGCCAGATAAAGCGAGACAAACGATCCAAAGCGATTTTATTAAAACTTAAATAACATTTCATATAAAAACAGGGAAAGAAAATAAAAAATAATAATAATAAAAAAAATAATAATATAGAATTTTCCTAAAATCTATTATATAAAAACGCATAAAAGAAATATAATTTAAAAAATATTTAATAACGTGAAAATTTTTAAAAATTTTTATGAAAAACTATTGAAAGATGATTTTATAAAAAAAGGACAGAAAGAAATTTTTTAAAAAAATAATAAAATAAATTATAGAATTCCAAAATATTTATAAAAAAAGCACATGAAAGAAATTTAGCAAAAAAAAAAAAAAAAAAAAGAGCTCCCAAGAAATTTCGGCAAATAAATCAAGAAGAATAGCATATGAAAGAAATTTAAATAATAAATTACATGAAAAAATTAAAAATTTTTTTGGCCCAGGAAAACCTAGAATTTTTCCAAACAAGTTTATAAAAAGGCTTGTGAAAGAAATTAAAAATTAATAGTTATAAAAATACGAAAAAAAAAAGGTAGCCCAGAGCCCCAATTAAATTCATTTCCCTACAACAACACCTATAGTTGTGATGAGTAAAACTATTTTATTAATTTTTTTTTCAGATTAATAAAAACTCCATTTCAAAAATGATAAATACAGCAAAAAAATTTAAAAAAGAAAAAATATTCACAGTGTAAAAAAACGGTTAATTAGTAATATTTTCAGATAATAAATGCATTTGTAAGTAACATTTAAATAAATTTTTAAATTTAAATATAAAAAAAATCATCCTCCCCGGCGGGGAATCGAACCCCGGTCTCCCGCGTGACAGGCGGGGATACTCACCACTATACTACCGAGGATAAGGAGACAACCTGCCGAAACCCGGGATCGAACCAGGGACCTTTAGATCTTCAGTCTAACGCTCTCCCAACTGAACTATTTCGGCACGAGATGCAGTCAAAATAAGATAGAAAAAGCATTTCAAAACACCTATCGTCCCTCCTATAGTCGATGGAATTAAAGCCAATAATAAATAATGTGCAAAATGAAAAATAGAAACAATCAAATTCTAGAAAAATATTTTTTTAATTTAATTAATTCTAAAAACTGGTAAAATTGGCTTGAAATAAAATAACACATTTTCCTTCAATAAATTTTGCCGAGAAAAAAATATGAACCAAAGCACATTCAGTTGTATTTAGTACATTATAGAAAATCGCATGAGTTGATCATTTTGTCATTAATGTAGTAATTATGTTTGCAAACTATTTAAGTTGCATATTTTCTTTTTACAAACTTAATTAAAATAAATAAAAATAAAACATTACATAAATACCAAATATTATGCAATCATTTAAATAAATAATATTAATTAAGCCATTCAATATTTCTTACTCCCATATTTTGCCTTAGCATAAACGTGCTTTTACGGGAAAATAAATAAAAAAAAAATACCAGCAAAATATTAATTAATTTATTAATTAAATTTAAAAAAAAAAGGCGTGTGTGTTTTTTTTTTTTTTTTTTTTAACGGATTTAAAGCGCTATTCTCTATTATTCTCACTAGTAAAATTAAATATTGTAGTTTTCACACTGCAGGTTGGGCAACCCGATTGTAACTGGGTGTTGTTGGGATGAAATACTTGAAGCACAAGTTGGAGAACTCACAGCTTTATTGACAAACGCACAAACACCACACACCTACAATTAGAGACATAAAATATTTAACATATTTAAGGGCAGATCATTATTCGTGGAAGATTTTTGCCTTTGTCTGAAAGGAATACCCGATACTGAGCTACGCGCAGGACGCCCGAAATGCCTATTATTCTCCGAGTGAGAGTCTGCAGGCCAAGAAATGTGCAGGATTGAGCTACTTATATTCTTGAAGGCGCAGTTTGAGAAGTCACAGGTTTATTTAAATATGCGCAAACAGCACACACATACAATATTTTACACATTTAAATACAGATATTGTAGATTCGGGAAGACCTCCACTTCAAACTTTCGAAAACTGCGCAGGTAATATACGAAATATACTTCCTCTCCGGGTATAGGCTGTAGGCCAACTAATGAGCCAGAATGAGATATATATATTTCCTCTCGGGATAAGAGACTGTAAACTAGACTATAAACTAAAACTTTGCCAGTGGAGTGAAACTGCATATTGCCTCTCGGGTGAGAATCTGTAGGCCTATTGACCATATGCCATATCTCCTGGACCCCACAGGGGCACTCCATTTCAGTGTGTTTCTAGGACGAAGCACGGTTACTATATGATTTCATCAATCATGTGAAACTGTATTGAAGTTGTTTTGAAAAGAGTTTAAGAGTACCAACATCTTTAAAATCCATAAAAAAAAAAACCTCGCTAATCTTTAGTGACTAAAAGACATTATTATCTTAATAAATCATTTTTTGTTATTTTATAAATTTAAAAAAAAAAATGTTTATGTTATTTATTAATTTTCACATAGTTTTTTATGGAGACTATAAAAGAAAGAAATATTGAAACACCTCGTTCGCTGATAACTGGTAGTTTAATGATTGTCATTTATTTAAATTACTTAATGGTGTCAAGTATTTATAATGTGTCAAGTAAAGTCATTTAAAATGATAGATTAGCATGTATGCTGATTACGTTAACTGCCTATGGGTCAAAATTTTTTTTTTTCTGCTCCGAGATGTTAATGTATTTGAAATTGGAAAAAGATTTTTTACTATATCGCGTTTCTAGTTTAAAATTAGCATAAAGAGTTTTCTAATGTAATAAAAATGTAGCATCAAAATATTTCATTTTAGAAATTCATAAAATATTTATTAACTTGTGTGTTTAACACCTTAGAAATTGTAAAGAAATTAGAAAATGTATTGGCTTTTCTAATTATAAAAATAACTAGCAATGTCTTTCGGATAAATAAATGCATTAAGTGATTATAAAAAGTGCATAAAATTAATATAAAAAACATTAAAAAAAAACTGGACTTTGTAAATCGTAAAGTTTCTATTAGAAATTCTGATATTCTATTATTAGCAGTTTATTTTTTTTTCCAGAAACGAAATAAAGTAAAATAAAAACAAGTAATAATAAAGAATAATATTTATGTTTTTGTTATTATTATTAATACAATTTAATTTCTTCTTCAATGGCGAGACAGTTCCATGGTGGGCAAATGACCTTCTGTCTGCTGGTAGATTCCGAAACATGAGATGTTTTTTTTTTTAGTGAGTAAGGGTGGGCTATGGTAGGGGCTGGGAACTATGATTTAAAGTGTATTCCGAACCACTACAAACATTCCTGGCTCCACCGGGACTCGAACCCGAAAACCCTGTAAGTACCAAGAGCTAATCATTCGGCCATCAGGTCCCCACTATTACTAAATTAAAATACTAAAAGAATCTTAAAATGTTAAGCTTAGTTAAAAAATTTTAATTCATACCTTATCAAAAAATAATTATAATGTTCCCTCATTGGGTAATGCTTTTTCAATTCCTTCTATTATCTCACACTCTCCCTATATATATTTCAAATCGTTAATAAAATACTTTTTATTCATCCACTCAAGTTCAAATACATTTTTTTTGAACTTGTAGTGGATGACACTTTGATGTTAATACAGTTTTCAAATATTAATTTATTCATTAAATTTAATTAATTAATTTTAGTTTTTTGGGACAGAAAAATTTCTTTTATGTAAGATATTTAGCAGGATATAAATTTAGGAATAAATACCGTCAGTGGCGAAATGGCTGGAAAAAATTTCTTTTTCAATTCTTTTTTCATTCTGGGTTCTAGTCTGAGTCAAGGAGGGAACAAAATGGAAAATAAAACATGTGAATAAATTAGTGAGAGAGATGAAAGTGTGTATGGTGAAAGAGGGAGAATTTTTCAACTTAAAAAATGAATGAAAATTATTTATAAAGGACTTTCTAATAAAGTGAAAAAAAAAGTAGGGAATTGACTTTTTTTATATTACTTGTTTTGCCTCAAGTGCTTCTTTTCCATTTGTGCTTATAATAATAATGCTATTAACGTTTTTAAGAAAGTTTATAAGTTGAAAAAAATATTTTTAGTTATTATTTATTGTTAATTTCAAAATTAAATTATTTGTAATTTTTTTATTATTGTGAATTGATATTAGTTATCCAACAATTATTTTCTGGATGGCAACACATATATATTTTTATTAGATTCGTTTGTTTACATTTTTTTCTCCTGAAAAAGTAAAAAAGGTAATTCCATTTAATATTCTTTTTGTTCCTTTCAGTTAAATAATTTTTGTTCATTTTTGCATAAAAATTAAACCTTTGTAGAACAACAGCTCTTGTTCTAATTTCTTTTACGGCGTGTTCTAATTTTACGGAATTAATCGGAGACCTCAAAATATACTATTATCAAACTACGAATATGTAATGATGACATTTGATTTTAAAGGAAATAAATTACATTTTTTACTTACAACAAATATTTCATTCTGAAATCCCATAAGATATTTAATAATTTTTGTATTTTAAAAATTCAAAATAAATTCGTTAAGTTATCCGCTTTTCAACTTACACCACAAATAAGAATATTGTCTTTTATATAAATGTATGAGAGAGAATAAAATTTTAAAAATGTGTCAATAAATTAAAAATATTATCCTCCCCGGTGGGGAATCGAACCCCGGTCTCCGCGTGACAGGCGGGGATACTTACCACTATACTACCGAGGATAAGGACAATTGCCGAAACCCGGATCGAACCAGGGACCTTAGATCTTCAGTCTAACGCTCTCCCCAACTGAGCTATTTCGGCACGTCTACGATTGAGTCGGCCCTTGAAACTTGAATATTCCATCTTCACCCACCTTCTCTGTGGTCAAAATATCTGGTGGGTCCAATCAAGGGCATGGTAGGACGACAACGGCGATCTGGTTTTCCTGTAGTGGCCAACAACATTTCCGCACAGTAATTTTTGATACATTGAAGATCCTAAATTCATATGAGATTAAAAAGGGTCGTTGTTGAAATTTCATGACTCGATGTTGATATTGATTTGTTTTGCTATTTGTCCTTGTTTGTTATTTGATTATTGATGATTGTTTGCATTCATTCTTGCCGATATATAGACATAAAATTCTTAATTAAAATTATTTTTGTTTTTTACTTGAGTGTTGTGTCCTTACGATCGTCTTAAATGTCATTATGTAAATAAAACATTATGTTGAAATTCAGTCTTCTCCTTATAAAAAATGCGCCATCATGCAGTATCCATCGTTCCAGTAGAAATAATTAAGAATCTTTAATCTTCTTTTATGAAAGCCATACTCTTTTAATATAATTTATTTCCTTATTCACGGAATCTGTCCTTCAATATTCTTTACTATAATTTATTTACTTTATTTAGTGAATCTTTCTTTCAATACCTATAATTTCAAACAATCCATAACATTATTAATTACAAAGAATCATACTACAACCTAATCCTAATCCTTACTACCATGACATCATTATTTTTAACGTACAACTGTGTCCAAAAGTAAGATCAATTTTCAATTTAATATTCCTGAGGCTTATGAAATTTCAAATTTTTTTCTTTTTTAGGTTGCTGGCACTATGCTTGACATCTGTGTGAAATTTGACGTCAAAATATTCATTAGTGTTTGAGTTACGCTTGACTTTGTGAGACGTTAAAAAACTGATTCCGGCGATTTTTGAAACGTCTGAATTAATTGAGCAAAACTTGCATTCAATTTTATTTGCGAAAACTTTATAGAATGTTTCCAGAAGGCATTCGGTGGGCATTCCTATATCGTAAAGAAATGTTTACAAATGGTATAAACAGTTCAAAGAAGGCAGAGAACGCATTGAAGACGAAGAGCCCTCTGGTCGACCCTCAACCTCAACCGACGAAGCTCACGACCAAAAATTAAAGCTTTAAGTTGTCGCAAATCATCAATTTATAATTAGAAACCTTGCTGATGATGTTGGAATTTCAAAAAGATCGGTCAATTCATTTTGGGCCTCAAACGCGTCAAATCTCAATTGGTACCGAAAAACACTGAATGCGGCAGCTCACACGGCATTAATTCTTCGTGACTTTTTCACAAGAATGAAACCCATATCTTTCCACAACCACCTTATTCAAATCGTGCGACTTGACTATTCCCTAAATTCAAAAGACCACCCGGGGACACCGTTTTTAGTCGATTGGAGAGATTCAGCATGAATCGCCGCGCGCTTTGAAGGCCATCCCCTGCCGATGACTTTTTAGCATGCATTGAGGATGGGAAAAAGTTGGCGTAATTACATTGTGTCCGAGGGGATTACTTTGAAGGCGATGAAATAAATTTGGAAGAAAAATAAAGAGTTTTTTGAAAAAAAAGAATAATTGGTCTTACTTTTGGGCACAGTAGTATAATAATAATGCTCTTAACGTTTTTAAGAAAGTTTATAAGTTTTAAAAATATTTTTTGCTATTATTTACGGTTAATTTCAGAATTAAATTATTTGTTGTTAATTTATTATTGTGAATTATTGAGGATATTAGTTATCCAACAATTATTTTCTGGATGGCAACATATATATATATATATATTTTAACAGATTCGTTTGTTTACATTTTTTTCTCCTGAAAAAGTAAAAGGTAATTCCATTTAATATTCTTTTTGTTTCCTTTCAGTTAAAAAGTTCAGTTTCAGTTTTAAGGAGTTGTTCTTGCTAGATACATGTCCCATGCTTTAATCAATTGTTGAAAATTGTGCTTTGTTTGCTTATAAAAAAAAGGTTTATGAATACCACCTTAATCTAGTATGTATCTGATAACATTAAACATTTCTTCAAATGTTTTTAAAATTGAAAGGTTTTGTTGTTTCTGTGATCATATGAAAAGTTTTTCTTAAAAAAAATTATATTAAAATATTTAATTCTGATTTTTTCAGAAAATATTTAGTGTATTAGCTAAAAAGGTTGGTTTAGCCAGTTGGAAAAAAAAATTTAACTATTCGCTTTTCCAATTACACATTACTAGTAGTATTTTTCAGATAAATAATGTATTTGAGTAATAATAAAAAATAAAAAAAAATTAACTATTCGAAATAAATCTTAAAAAAAAAAAAAATTGCCCTCCCGGCGGGGAATCGAACCCCGGTCTCCCGCGTGACAGGCGGGGATACTTACCACTATACTACCGAGGATAAGGACAACCTGCCGAAACCCGGGATCGAACCAGGGACCTTTAGATCTTCAGTCTAACGCTCTCCCAACTGGAGCTATTTCGGCATGTCTGCGTCTGCTTAAGACAGCAAAACTTCGAAAACTCAACCTTTACCTCCCCCCCTTCTGCAGTCGAAAATAGCTGGTAGGTCCGATGACGATCAGGGCAGGACGACACCGCGATCTGGTTTCCTGTAGTGGACAACAAAATTTCCGCGCAATAATTTTTGGTACGCTGAAGATTCTAAATTCATATTTGTTGTCGAAATTTCATGACACTATTCCATATTTGTTATACTTATATTGACGATTGTTTAGGAGGAGGGAGGGAGATGTTGCCCGGGGGTGGGGGTGAAGAAAGTTTATATAGAGTTGTTCCTTCAGTTCAATCATTCTTGCCGATATAAACATAAAATTCTTAATTAAAATTATTTTGTTTTGCTTAAAATTGCTGTTTTTAATTTTTTTATTGAATATTATTAAATAGTATTCCGAGTTATTTTAACTTTCTTTTGTCTTCAGCTATTATGAAATTAAGAATTAAGAAATCATCACAAATCTTTATTATTATCATTATCTAATTTTCCTATCTAGTTGGCTAATTAGATGGCATTTCAAGTCGTTATTATTTATGCTGCTGTACTGATTATAGACAGGCCCTCGATAAATAGCATTCCCTCTTACCAATACCGCAAATGTTGCGGTTTAATTTGGGCCCTGTAGACCAGTATAAGTTATAAATGTTGTAATCTGAAGTATATTGCTAATCCTTTTAGGTTACCGTAATTCAATTCAAGGAATTCCCACTCTCCTGTTTCGAGACGTTCGAAATTCGATAGCCATAGGTGTGAATTTAGGAGGGAGATATTGCACAGGTGGAAAGAAAGTTTATATAGTGTTGTTTATTCAGTTATAGAAAATATTTTTGTTTGTTAAACTTTAAACTGATTTTTATTGTTAAATTTGCAATGCCGCCTAAGAAAAGAAAAAACTATTCGATCTGATGATAGAGCTGATGAAAGCGAAGATGCTGGCTTGAACCGATATCAATCTTATTAAAAGAGTTAATAAGAGAGTTATGTTTTATTTTCTGGGCCTACTGGCTGGCATATATACGTAGTCCTGAGTATTACTATATTTTCCTGTCCATAATCTGAGGATTATCTGGTAGAAAATACTGTTGACGATAGTCCTGTGTCTACCATCAAGAAAAATATTTATTTAAATTAATTGGATGAAAATTGACGCCATGTCTGATAAAATTATTAATACGGGGACGAAGCATTTTATCACAACAATATTTTTAAAAATTAAATTATCAATTTATCCATTTATAAAATTCTGAATAGCCATTATCTTTTTTTTTAATGTATGTTTTTAAAAACGACAATTTTTAGTATATCAAACCCCTTTGTAACGCTGATTCTGCTACGTCTCTGCCCGTGAATGATTTAGGTCAGACTGCCCCACATTCGAAATCAACAACGAAAATGCCAGATTTAAAATAAATGATAAAATAACTTTTAATGTTAAGTTTCAAACAAAATTATTACAAAAGTAATATGCAGTGGATATTTTTATACATTCAGGAAATCTGTATTGAATAGCAGAATTTAAATATATTATGATATTCAAAAACCATTTTTAGAGCTACAGTTGTCCGTTAGTAATTTTATATAATTGATGCTTTTATTTGTTTTCAAGTGGTATGATATTTTACGTTAATTGAAGGTAAAAAATTAGTAATGTAGTGTGAAGGTTGGGCTACTGGATCGTTTTGAAGCACAGATTGGAGAGCTCACAGTTTTATTTACACACGCACAAACACCACACACATACAATTAGACACAAACAATGTGTAACATATTCAAAGACATATAATTATAGATTCTTGGAAGTACTACACTTCTAAACCGAAAACCTGATACTCAGGTACGCGCAGGTTGCGCGAAAAAGATACTTCCTCTCCTGGTGGGAGTCTATAGGCCAACTAATACACAGGGTTTTAGTTGACTAATATTTTTCCAGGTATTTTAGTATTAGCTTACTAAATATATTTTCCTCTTGGGGTGAGAGACTGTAAGCTAAACGTTTGTCAACAGTAGCGCGTGGTTGTGCTGTACTTCCTCTCTGGTGAGAATCTCGATGCCTACTGACTGTGGCCTGATGGCCAATTGGCCAGCTCTGTGGCCTTTGGACACAGGCTTCAAGTTCGAATCCTGGCAGTGGCATAGATGTTTATTAGTGGTTCAGAATCCATGTTAACTGTAGGTCCCAGTCTAATTAGTCTTAAGTCTAATTAGGCCTACTATTTCTCCTGAACGCCACAAGGGGCTCTCTTGTCAGTGTGCAAGAGGGAGCATGGTTACAGCATTTATAATAGAGAAATTATTATTATTATTATTATTTTTTTTTTTTTTTTTTGGAAAAAAATAGCTGCCACTTTTTTTTTTTAACTTAAAGCCTGCATGCCAAGAAATTAAAAAGCAAATTAGGCATAATCATGCATTTAAATTTTTAACATCCATTTCAAAAGGGTCGTTCTTGTTTTTGTATTTCGGTTAAAATTAGCTATTAGAAATCGAAATATGAACCGTTTCT